GGTCTTCAAGAACTTGGATTTGATTATTGGGATCAAAATTAAAAGAAATAAAACTTGTAACAATGTGATATATAACTGTATTATAATTATGATCTAAATAATTTTTTTGTTCTTTTTGTTCATTGTCAAATGCCATAAATAATAACCCCTTTGGAAGTGGTTCAGCTTTTCCAGCCAAATTTTCTTGCCATTTCATAAATTTTGTAAAGCTACCAGAACTTAAAATATGATCATCTATGTCAACAATGGTTCTAGATTTTGACAATGAATATTTAATTGCTGAAGTTGCTAAATTAATTGCAGAAACATATTTTAAATTCCTCGCTCCATAGACAGCATCTACTGCCACAGAACATTTGAAAAGTTTTTCACTTTCATGTTGATTTTCACTTTCACTATAAATAAGAGCCTCTATAAACTTAACAAGAACTGGATTACATTTAGCAAGCCACTCTGAAGTTGAATATGATAAAAGATTGTCCAAAGTGAATCTTTCTTGGTCATCAATTAAATTAACAATATCTTGATATATATTTTTTTGTTCACACCTAGCAATTTCTTTTATAATGTCAATTCTTACTTCTTGATCATCAAATCTTCTATTCCATTTTTCTTTCAATTTTTTATTTTCTGATATTAAATTTTCATTATGATGTTCCAACTCAATTATTTTTTGTTCATAATCTTTTATGATATTAACATAATTTACTCACTGTGACTCTTGTCACCGGAATGCGAATTAGACCTTAATTTGCTGATCAATAACCCCGAAAATCCGGAGTAATAATTTATATATTATTTTCATATTATTTATATTATTTATTTTATTTATTATTTTTAGTATTCATTATTTATTTTTAGTTATTTATTTTATCTATTATTTATTTTTAATTTTATTTTATTTTGTAATAATTTCCGAATGATTTAATTTAATTACATGCGTTCGTGTTACATTCCGCAGAAGTAAATAATTAGTAACACGTTCGCATTAGACCTTTATTTAGTAGAAATTAATGAAGATTATCCTGAATCAGGATATATATCTTAGATTAGGAGAATTATCCTGTGTACAAAGAAGGATAATTATCCTAGAAAGAGAGAATTATCCTAACTTGGGAGAATTATCTTGAATTAGGATAAATATCTTAATCTAGGCTAATTATCCTAAACTAGGATACATATAATCAAACATGTATATAAGGAATGAGAATTCGCTGTAATTGAAAAATAACTTTGTAACAAATTAACTTAATAATAAGTTAATAATTAGTTTCGACTAAATACAAAATTAAATAAATCATTTTTATCAAATCACTAAAACAAAATTATTCGCTAATAAATCTAATTTGTTAGTATTAGCCTATTCATTCTGATCCACATAAAATAATAAAAATTTGTTATCATCAATTAAAATATGCTCTCCCAAAATTAATTGGTGACACTCTGAACTAATTAATTCATTTGTTATTTTTCCTAATTCTGACAAAAGATCCTGATATCGTAAATTCCTAAGCTATTTATTTGAATTTATATCAACAGAAGTATATATAATATTGTCCTTTTGTAATTTCTCAAGAAAAGAATCTTTAGCAACTATTTGATTATAATGTTTTTGACAAACTGAGTAATTTTCTAATGAATCAAATGATAATTCTGGAAAATATTTAGCAATGAGAGATGCGCGTTCAACTGATGCTGGTGCTGATGCATGTTTCCATCGTTTTTCTAGATCATTATCACACAATGTCAACTGGCTTCCTGGATATTTGTTTGCAATATCTTCATACAAACATGGTAAGGTATTAGCTAGTGGTCTAACATTCGTCATAACTAACTGTTAGAATTAAAAATTATAGAATCAATTTTGTAAAAAAAAAAATGAGATATGTTTTAGTCAATATTTCTCCTATGTATTAAAAAAAATCTAGTATGTAAGGTTGTGTGGATCCTGGTGGATTCTTAAAATATATATTCGGAAGTACTTATTTCAATTATTATTATTATTTTTTTTTTTTAAAAAATTTTATTTTTCACAAAGCATGACATGTCATGTTAAATCATTTGTAACATACAGTGTGTAACAAAAAAAACTGGAAATTTTTTGGTGCAATTTAGAAAAAGGAAGTTTTTTGTTCTTTCTAGCAGCCAATTGCCACTATATCCTATATAGAGACCATTCCTGAACCTATCACAAAGATTGATATGCTAATTTGATTTAAATCGGATTTTTGAAAGTCAATTATTTTAAGCTCAAAATTTATTCATGAAGACTTTGATTTAAAAATGTGCTATTAGTTATGTGATGGTTATTCAACAATGTTCATATATTGAAACGCCAAATTTTTTGGTAAGTTTGTTAAGCAAGACATAGAGTAATGAATGCTAAAAACTCCAATGAATTGGAATGACTTTTGGCAAATTAATGAGAAATGAATTTGCTGATTTTTATAATTGAATTTTTAAATGAAATAAAATTGACTTCATTTATATTTTTTCGTTCATACCTAGCAACTTCTTTTATAATGTCAATTCTTACTTCTTGATCATCAAATCTTCTATTCCATTTTTCTTTCAATTCTTTATTTTCTGAAATTAAATTTTCATTTTGATGTTCCAACTCAATTATTTTTTGTTCATAATCTTTTATGATATTAACATAATTTACTCGCTGTGACTCTGAACT